CTCCCAGAATTCCCCAGCCAGCTGTGCTGGCTGGGGAATTCTGGGAGTTGAAGTCCACCCCTCTTTAAGTTGCTGAGCTTGAGAAACACTGCTTTAGAGAGACTTTTTAATCACCTTTTAATGCTGAAGGCAGAAAAAACATGTTTACTTTCCAGCTGTGACTGGCAGATTTTGGGGGGTTTTTTGTTCCCCCAGATAACAGCAAGAGGCCGGATTGCCGCAACCGGGTCCCTGTCCGCTATTGCAATCTGGGGAGCCGGGATTCCGTCAGGTACGTTCATCTGGTGAATTTCGGGTCCTGTTTAAGGGTGGCTGGAAAAAACAGTAGCAACAACGGAGGACTCGGAGGCTGGATTCGTGGGGGGAAAGGAGAACGATGGAGGTGGCGTAAAAAAATTATTGATTGATTGATTGATTGATTATTAAATTATATGCCACCCATCACCCCCATGCTTATTCTGCATGGGCTAGTCCCTCCCTCTTAGCCCAAGAGCCAATCAGATGTGGCAGGGAAGGGGCTAGACTAGGAGTGGGGAGACCCAGGTTCTAGTCCCCCCTCAGCCACAGAAGCTCATTGGCTGACTTTGGGAAAGTCCCTCCCTCTCAGCCCAAGAGCCAATCAGGAGTAGCAGACAAGGGCTGGAACAGGAGTGGGGAAACCCGGGTTCTAGTCCCCCCTCAGCCACAGAAGCTCATTGGCTGACTTTGGACTAGTCCCTCCCTCTCAGCCCAAGAGCCAATCAGGTGTGGCGGGGAAGGGCTGGACTAGGAGTGGGGAGACCCGGGTTCTAGTCCATCTTCAGCCATGGAAGCTCATTGGCTGACTTTGGGCTAGTCCCTCCCTCCCAACCCAAGAGCCAATCCAGGGTAGCGGGGAAGGGGCTGGACCAGGAGTGGGGAGACCTGGATTTAATCCCCCCTGGGGGACTTTGGATCCCTTCCTCTCAGCCCAAACTGCCTCACAGGGCTCTTGGTTGGGAAGACTAATTGGAGGAGAGGCTGCTAGATAACCCCCCTGAGCTCATGTATACATCTAAGAAAGGAAGACCTCTTCCAACTCTGGAGTTCTAGGATTTGAGTACATTCAGCCTGGAGACAATATAATTAAAAGACCCTGTGATAGTCAAATATCCGAAGGCCCACTTTCTCTAGAAAGCTGATGGAGAAATCCAGAACACTTCAATTGATGGACTCTGATTACTAGAACGATACCTTCCAGGGTGGGGGGAGGCTGTTCCATGATACTTCCTAGGGCCCACCAGGTGATGCGTCTTCACCCAGGGCACCAGACCCTGCCCGCTCGGGTCAACCTGGTGGGATGGGCAGAGACCATCAGGGAGAGGTGGCCCCATGATAACGTGGCTCCATGCTGGGAGCAGCCTTAAAGGTGACAACCAGCACCTTGAATTGTCCTCAGAAGCCTCCTGAGACCCAGCACAGCCCACAGAGCAGAGGTGTTACGTGGGTCTGCCACGACACGCTCAATGCCGCCCCTGCTGCTGTGCTCTGTATTCCCCAAAGGAGGATCCTAGTCCTCAGGATCACAAGGTTTGGGGTGTTTCGCTTGCCTTTAGGAACCCACATACCTTGGTGGAGGTGACGTCTTTCGCAGCCCTCAACAAGTTTCAGCCTTTTAATGTGGCCATCTCCAGCAACGTTCTCCTGCTCGTGGTAGGTACCGCTGCTTGAGTTGGGAGGGCAACACCGGGGCTGGCTGAAGAATTCTGGGATTTCTGGGTTCAGCACGTTCAGAGGGCACCAGGTTGTGAAAGGCTGGCTTGGCGAATGTTTTTAATGCGTTTGATTTATTAGAAGTATTTGTATACTGCCTGGTGGTTTATGAAGAATCCATCCGATGGACAAAAAAATTAAAGCAAAGGAATCCATTGAATGCAAATACAGGGGAATACTTACACCAGTGTTTCTCAACCTTGGCAGCTTTAAGATATGTGGACTTCAACTCCCAGAATTCCCCAGCCA